TTTAGAGCTGTTTTAAAATTTTTCTTTTTCTGGTTTTATGGTAATTGTGACAGGAACAATTTTTTAGAATTATTGTAAATGTATTTGTTTTTTTTTTTAAATTATTTTAATACCTTAACGAATTTTATTAAAAACATTGTTTGTATTTTAGAGCCCTGAGGATGGTGTAAAATAACACCGAAACGTTGGCAATGATTTAAAATATAGTGTTCTTTTGTTTATTGATCTTTATCCCACTAAAACCTTGACTTAAAATAAATAATCTCCGTTATAAAATAAAAGATTTCCATATTATATATATATTATTTCTGTAATAAAATCATTTTAAAATTAAAACACAAAAATTAAATATTCATATCATTTACTAGTTTGAATATTTAGAGATAGATTATTTAAGATGTCTGACTAGATGGTATAAGAAAAATAGAGGCATATTTGACAGTTATGCAACAAGTAACATTTCACGAGTGAGAAACTATTAAAAATTTATGTTATAAATTAAATCGTAATTTACAGTATATTTTATATACTAGTGGAATTAGGAAAAAATGATTAGAAACTAAATAAGTATTTATTATCTCCCTATAGGAATCAGCAACCAGCCTATAATTTTAAAATGCCTAAGTATATATCAAATTATATTATAAATCGTCTATATTAATAAATTGTGAGTTATTAAATAATTGTCTGTCAAATTGAAAAATTGTGACCGCGAGGTGATAACTAAACTAAAGCTAAACTAGCTGTCAGTATAGTTAACATCAGTACTATATTATATAGGTAGTCAGTTATATCAGTCAGTATAGTTAGCTGCCAGTATAGTTACACTTGCGTAACTTATTTTTGCACTAGTGTCTAATAGTGTCCCTATTTTGTAATAAGGGATGAAATGGCTTTTTCCCGTCAGTGAACGATTATCCGGGAGTGATTATAGAAAGAAGTGTTGCAAGTTTACGAATGAAAAAGCAGTATTTTATCACAAGAGGATGCTTTTGTTCTACGTACCTACATACTTTTCGCTCAATTTAATTCAAAATGAATCGGAAAATTGGTAATATTTGTTTTTTAATTACGTCCATCCTTTTTGTTATTATCATATGGAATATGACATTTATAAAGTGAGATTTAATAATTTGTAAATATTTTTAGATAGGCATGAAAAATGTTCTGTTGAAATCAAATTAATCAATAAGATTTATGTAAATTAATTAAGATAATAATAAAACTAACATTTTTAGTTTCATCTATATGAGAAAATCTTTTCATTCCTAAACAGAAAAAAGTTATTTTCATAGTGGCTGAGCTATGGGATTTTTTTATATTTTCACATATGTGAGTAGGAAAAATATTTAGATTAGACACTTGTGCAAAAAAGTTAGATTTCAGTTATGCACAACCTGTGTAAAGTTACTGGTTTACGCATAGTGGTAAAAAATAGTTTTTCTATATCTATTTTTTTTAACTGGTAATGAACTAATATTTTTTTCCAAACTATTATCATGATAAAATAGAACAGGATATTTCTTCATGTAATACACTTATAAACATAAATTGAATGACGATATAAATTATTATTTACTTTTTGAAATATGATTTCTATTATATTTCGATGTATGTACCTATTATAGGCTTTAAAATTTCTTATTCGAAATAAAGAAAATCCAAAACGATTTTTATATTAATTAAATTAGCAATAAATAAATTTTGTAAAAAAATTGTTGATATAGTTTTTTAAATCCAACGGAGTATGAACATTCTAAATAAAATTCAGTTTTTTTTAACTCAATATCTAGTTTAATGGAAGCGACATTTTGTATTCAAATACATATATATGTATAGGCCAAACATGTTACTAACTGTATATCCAAATTATAGGATCACTTTCTTAGCTCATTTTGCATTACTGTTAGACTAATTTCATAAGCAAATTATTTTTCTATCACTTTTGGTTTAATTGGCTCTGGCCACAATTTTCTAATTTTATTTGAATTGGTTCATATTACGTGATACACTTGTATCCTACTTTAGTAGTTTAAATTTATGTCAAGGACAAAATTTTATTTACTTTTTATAGATTTAAAGTGGCTGAAAAGCAGCCACATCACTTTTTAAAAAACATGTTATTATTAGCCCTCGCGTTTGTTTACACTAATAATAAAACATGTTTTTTAAAATGTGATTTTTTGGCTGCTTCTCAGCCGCTTTAAATCTAAAAATTAAATAAAATTCCGGCCTTAGCATAAATTTGAACTACTAAAATGGCATCGAAATATATAAATTAATTTCTTAACTTTACGATTAAAATTACATTTTGTGGCTGATTAAAACTTATTAAGATAATTTTTTTTGAGAATTTATTTAACATAGAAAAGGTAATGATGCCCTAAATTACACTTTTTTCATAAATCTATCGTTCTTGTTCTTTTACATACTTTCAAAAATAACAACAAACTATATTAAATAAGCTAATGAAAAACATAAAACATAAATGTACTAAATAAATTTTAAACAAAATAATGGAAAGAGTTAACATCATTTAAAATTCGATTTGCTTATAAAACGAACTATAGGAGTGACCTCTACGGGTATGTATCGGATTTTACTATTTTGTATATTTATAAATATATTACATGACTGGTATGAACTTAAAATACTGTAATTTCAGTTTATATTAATTTATTTTTGTATTTATCACTGTCCACTGTCTATATCGTTTTTTGTTTAGGTATTATTTTTAATGTAAACTGATATAAATAATTAGTTGTGCTTTTATTTAATGAAGGTATAACATAGTTTGGTGCTATTTAAACATGATGTTATTGAAATAGAGATGCTAGCATAATAATATATACTTTTAGGAGAAATGTTTAGCAAATTTTAATATTATAAAACAAATTTTATTAATGTGGATTTTCTCTTTATTCGAATATAAAAAAAAACACAGAAAAGTCTCAAGCTCTCAAAATAGTCAAGGAAAAGTACATTTTATTCCAAGAATTTCATAATATTTTTTAAAAACAATTGGCGGAAATAAATTTTTTGGTAATAGATATGCATTTTAAATTTTGAAAATTTTTATAGCTGCAAGTCTTTTTTGTTAGTATTTTAGATGAAACGAAAGTCTGATCACAATATATGCATACTTCTACATTTTGAAGAAAATTGTAATTTATTGACTTTTTGGTAGGTATAAGATATTTTTAATTATCATTTACTTTAAATTATTGCACAGTGAAATAAACGACTCAGTTACATAACTTTTTTCATCAAATATAATCGTTTTAATATTTTTTTAAAGATTGATATATAATGAAAATCAAAATCAATTTTTATTATCATCCCATCTTTTGTAAGTTTTTCACATTATTACATCATGTATTCTTAGAGAATTCTTTATGTACTTTACTACCAAAATAATGCACATAATATTCTGCAGTAAAAATATTGCTTATGGAAAAATAATTTCATTACAGCTTTTTATTAATAAGAAAAGTTGGAAATAAAACTTTAATTTTTTGTAAACAATGTCAGAAAAAACCCAATTGAAATTTTTAATATAAAATTATGAAAAAAATCTTTCATACAGAATTATTTAGCGTTATTGATGTAACAAATTAAATATATTTTTTTACTATTGAAACAGTGGTTCTATAAGAAAAACAATATAGGATGTATGCAATAAATTAAAAAATGAGATCTGTACACAATTTACACTATACTTTTTCTGATTTCATCAGTTATATCCCAGACTTTGTACAAAACACAATTTCCTTTGAAATATACATGTATATTAAAAAATATCACACTTTCACGTCCACACAAAAATACACCATAAAAATAATGTGACTGAAAGTTCACTAGGTAATCTTGTGAGACTAGGAAAGTCTGTCTTAACACAGCATGATTATTTGGTTTTACATTAAATATAAAACAAATTTTTACGGATGCATCCCAGGGGCTGTTCCGATACGTGGTCCGTATAATGAATACGGAGAAAGATACGGAGATAAACTCGGATGATTTATTGCAAAGTTATTTAGTGAAGGGGAACTTAACGATGGATGAATTAAAGATGGTTTACTATATGGATGATATCTAGCCGTTGTTAGTGGACTTAGCGGTGGTGTGGGATATGTTCGAGGCAGAAAAGAATGTGTAGGAGGAAGCACTGTAGAACTTAACATTGATAAGGAAGAATTAGTTTCAGATACAGCCGCACTAGTATGTGTCCTTAAGTGTGATAACAATTCGTCAGAATTAGAAAATCTTTTACCACAATAAGTTGCATCACCAGATATCCAATTGCAAACATATGGTAAATGAGAAGCTGCAGCTAGAGCTGCTAGTTGAGCATGAGCATATACAGTAGCAGCAGAATTATGACTCATGTATCCACTAGATGTAGGTGCTTTTGAGTGATCACACTGCGCGCAACCCGCCGGACACGATATTGTTTTGCCTGCATTTGAAGCACCTATTAAATGAGAACCAACACTACATCCAGCACAATAAGGATCCCTACACACGGATGAGAGAGACTCTTGTGTCTTCATTCTTCCATATCCAAGATACGAACTTATTACACCAGATTTTAATGTATGATTTTGAGGTATTAAAGTACTTGTCATAATATCCACAGGCACAGGAAACCCTGTTGAATATCCACCTAAGAATGAAGAGGTTGCAGGCTGTAAACTTGGTTTAAATGTACCTAAGGGTAAATCTTTAATACTGGGATCTGACGAAGATGTGAGGATGTTTGGAGTAAATGCTGTCTTAGATGTACCAGGAGATGAAGTGAGGGATGTAGCTCCATGATTAGCCTTTTCTGATGAATTGATTAGTTCTGCATTATTTTCGGGTGACGTTTTATATTCTGCAGCATCAGGGGATGTACAGGGTGAATTAACACTTTGACTACTTGAACAACGTCCATTTGATGACACTTTAGTAGTTAAAGGAGTGTTTACGCGACATATAGTAGAACCACAACTAGAACTTTCCTCTGGAGTTCTAGATTTTTCTTGAGCTGAATTTAATTCATTTTTAGAACTTAATTTATTTATGTATTCTGTAGAATTTGAATCAAATTTTTCCTTATCTGTGTCAAACTTGGTTGTTTTATTAATCTTGTCCGTACTTTGCAAAAGTTTGGAATTGCAGGGATCTGCTCCTATTTGACTGCATGTTTGGGCTAACAATGCTAAAGGACTCTTCTTGGCATCCAACTGAAACAAATATAGATAAATTAAATTAAAATATAACTCATAATTAAAATAAGTAATAATACTAATTAAATTTAAATACAATATATATATATATATATATATATATATAGAAATTACAAGGTTAATCTTGACGATTAAGTTAGAGACCAAATAATATATAATATAATAATAATAATATAAAAATATATTTTTAGCAGGTACAAATAAAAACAACCAATAAAAAAGTTATGTGTTTATATGTATTCTTTCCTTACCGTAGTAGGCAGTGGTGTCAGATATTCCGGCCTTAAATATTGATTACTTGAAGTTAACATGATGTATCAATTTTATGTGTATTGTATGAAAGAGGTAACCAATGAAGAGTAAGATGCCATTCAATTTTTCTCGTAAGTTATTTTGTTATAAGGAACAAACACACTGACATTCCACAACACCGATAACTGAACTGATGCCCCTAAAGTTCTGTTAGCAATGCGACAGGCGCTCTCCTTTACTGATGACGTCACACATTGTTCAGTCCCCACCTATGTAAGGTTTGACACCCTCAGCCGCAGATCACCATGTTATTGCTTCATCTTTTTGCTTGTCGCCGACGACCACTTTATTCAGTTATCTATGTATAAGTATGTACGCACGTATGCATATGAGCGAGCGAACATTGCCACTGAGACACAGGAACAGAAAGATATTTGTTTCAAATTCAATAAGTAAACCAAATATATTTTATATTTCATATGCTTACTAGAAAATGAAAAACTAAATAATTTATTTTATTAAATGTTTGTGTTAACTATTTACCAATTGGATGTATACACCGCCCTGGACACTGTTATCGGCGCCTGTGATAACATTGTTCTTAATGCAGATTGCTTTATTTTCAAATTATAATAAATTATTTTCTTTTTAACCTATTTTCAAAAAAAAAACTATGAAATTTATTTAAAAAAACATTTAATTTAGGTAAAAACAAAGGATGGGTATATAAATATTTCTAATTATAAAATCAGAAAGCGTTTTTATGAGTCTCATTAAAAAATGCAAGTTTGTGTTGTATCTCGGAAATCTTCTAAGCCTTGATATTAGAAATTAATTAAATTTTATATAAAATTATCTATCGCTTCAGTGTTTCTTTAGCATTTGTCATTTTTCTTATGTTAAATTAAATAAATAACTTCTTTAAAGTTATTTAATATTAAAAAACACGATTCCCAACTTGTAAAATTACCTACACATTTTTGCACAACTTTTGCTAATTTAACCTATTTTGCATTTTAGTAAGACTCTTTTTCATGTACCACTGCCTCCTCCACGTTGAATTTGCTAGTGATGACATCCCCAGATTATTTTAAATAGAACTTCTATAGTTTCGAACCCAGCGACGTACAACTGTAGTACTTTATTTAATATTCCAAAATAAAAAGTAAGGATTTGTAAAAATATATGAATAACTTTATTTGTCTGTCACATGGTTTGATTTAGGTAAATATCGATTTAATTAATTTAACTTTATCACAATACATTTTTTATTTTAAAAATAATGTAACAAAAATTAATGAACTAATTTACCTATAACTATTTTCATAACAATTGAAATGTTAAGTATATTCAAAGTCTTAGAATTACTAATAATAGCTGTTAATAAAACTTGTCCCTATTTCTATAGACTAGGATAATAGTATTCTAGTCTATAGCATAGGCTTAGGATTATTTTTAAATTTTTCAGATAATTTAACACCCTATACAGGCTGTTACAAATTCGCTTCGCACTACAGGGATCTCGGAAACGGTAAGAGATACAAAGTAGCTTAAATGGGGGCAAAGTTGCGTAATCAGGAGACCAACATTATACCTCTAAAAAATCAAGGCTAACATGATTATTTTCCGAAATATTTGAAAAAACCTAAATTTTAGAAATCCGTTTTTGTTTAATTTCAGCCTAGTTTGAGGTGATATTGAAAAAAGAAGGACACTTTCTGATGGCAACTTTTTGCCCTCTATCGAATCGCATAATCAATTTTTATGTGTAACGTTTCGCCTCTCCAGGACCATCAACTTCATTTTTTTAAATACGACCCTGAAAATTTTATTACACTTTTTGCAAGCCTTCATGATCACCAATACTGTACTGCCTCAGCTCAAATCAGATTCAGACGTTTTATGTCTAAAAATTCATCTTCAATGTATTCGTTCCAAATTTATCTATTTTTTTTAAGATTTCTGTTTCTTGAATTATCGTACACTCTAATAGTCCACAGTACAGCCCCCCCCTGAAAAGTTGATTACCACATACTTTATAACTCGTGAGGAGCTTCATTTTGATGAGCCTACCACACTTTTCCGCTGCGACTTTTCTCGATTCCTCCGCTTTTCCACTCGAAAAAGTCCAAAAACATGGCAATTTCCCGGGGTTTTTGAAAAGTCAAGACCACATTTTAGCATAAGTTACTGGAAATTTTGTTGCAAATGCCGATTTAAATTTGTCCGACAAAAATTCTTCCGACATTGACGTGTCTACTGGCCGAAACATGTCAAAATAACAGGATATTGAAAATCAATTACCACATAGGTAATTTTCAGTAATATTAATTGTAAATAATTAATTCGGTCAAAAAGTGTTGTTATCCGACAAATTTCAAGCCGCGTTTTTTCATTCCAACAGCTGGAAATCGGAATTTTCACGGGGTATGATAAATCGATTACTACATGTCGGTCAAAAATAACACAAGATAGAAAAGTGTTTTTTATAAGCAAAAATTGTAATGTCCGACAAAAAAAGATGAAAAAAATTTCGTAAAAAATGTGCACATGTATTTATAATTTGTATTTATAATTTCTAATAAGGTATTTTTATCTATTAAGCAAAATTCCATATAAATATATATTTTTTTGGTTTTATTGTTGTAATTGTAAATTTCTTATGCTCAATTTATCCAAATAAATATTGAGAAAAGAATTAAACGATTTCAAAAAAGTATGTATTGTGTAACAAAATTATGCACAAAAGTTTTGGGATTTTCTTTTAGAAAAATAGGAAAAATAACAAACGCGAATGAAGACTTGAAAAAGAAAAAAAGATTTTTATATCAAGTATAATATTAATTTATTTAGAAATAGTGCATTATGCACTAAGATAGTATGTAAGTTAATTACTTTAAACTGCCTGAAACAGTTTATAGTCATAATCCTTTTAACTTTTAAAGTATTATAGGAGAAAATAGTTGGAATATGTTGAATTTTGTATTTATTAATCGTCTCAAAAATAACTTCATTTGTTTATAACTTTTAAATGTTTAAGCATAGAATAAGCAATATTATTTATTTGAAACAAATAATTATTTACATAATAATAATTAATAACCATTTATAAATATGAAATTTTTGGAGTGAAAAAATTAAATTTCATCACGATTATTGATTTATTGATTTTTTACTATTTTGTACAGTAAATTTAAAAGTGGAAAAAATGAAAATTGGATTTGTGGGAACCGATTTATCCTAAAATTTCGATTTCCAGCTGTCGGACTGAAAAAACGCTGATTGAAATTTGTCGGACAACAATACTTAGTGATTGAATTAATTATTTACAATAACGGTAAAATTATCTATGTGGTAATTGATTTTCAATACCCTGTCATTTTGGCATGTTTCGGCCGGTAGACACGTCAATGTCGGACGAATTTCTGTCGGACAAATTTAAATCGGCATTTGCAACAAAATTTCCAGTAACTTAAGTTAAAAAAAAGAAGATGTGGTCCCCGGGATATTGTCAAGTTTTTGGACTTTTCCGAGTGGAAAAGCGGATATAGAGGCAAGTCGCAGAGGAAAATGTGGTATACTCGTCAAAACGAAGCTCCTCGCGAGTTATAAAGTATGAGATAATCAACTTTTCAGGGGGGGCCTGTACTGTGGACTACAAGTGTCTTTAGACCCTGTGAAATCCATCTAGTTATTTAAACTATTACCATCACACGTTACAATGAAACATTATTAGACAATTTGTAACAGCCTGTATACAGGGTGTTCCACCTAAGAGGGATTCTTCTGTAATTCTGCAAGCAAGCAACCAGGCAGGCAGCCAGCCAGCTAACCAGTAACTTAAGCTAAAAAAAAAGATGCGGTCTTGACTTTTCAAAACCCCGGGAAATTGTCAAGTTTTTGGACTTTTCCGAGTGGAAAAGCGGAGGAATCGAGAAAAGTCGCAGAGGAAAAGTGTGGTAGACTCGTCAAAACGAAGCTCCTCACGAGTTATAAAGTACCTATGTGATAATCAACACTTCAGGAGGGGCCTGTACTGTGGACTATAAGTGTCCTTAGACCCTGTGAAATCCATCTAGTTATTTAAACTATTACCATCACACGTTACAATGAAACATTATTAGACAATTTGTAACAGCCTGTATACAGGGTGTTCCACATAAGAGGGATTCTTGTGTAAGCCAGTCAGCCAGCCAGCCAGCTGGCGGGCGGGCGGGCGGGCGACCGACCGACCGACCGACCGTCTAGATCTTCTGACTAAGCCACTAAGCCACTTCCCGTAATGGACACTTTGTCAATGGATACTCTGCTTTTATACTGCACTCCCGAACAATCACTTTCGTACGTTATCATCAACACAAGCAGAAGGAGTTCTCCACCAACCAAATTCATACGTACTACACAAACTGCCCCATCTTGTCCTGGGATTAATTCAACGCTGATAAGCACGACCTATGGAAATCTGTTCTTGCTTAGGGGGGTTTTGTTATTTTTCAACCCACTCAAATATTCATTACGAAACCCGTTCCGCAAATTTTGTATAAGCTTTTGTTTATATCGGATTCTTCGACATAAGGATGCCCTATCTACGGCATCAGAATCTGGCAAACCATCTACACTTAAATCGCGTAAGAACATCCCAGGTGTCAAAGTAGCCAAATTCTCTGGCTCTTCAGACATATAGGTCAGGGGTCTTGAGTTCATGACAGATTCACAGTCACAGATAATAGTCAGTAAATCTTCAAAGTTCAGACAAGCACGGCCTAATACTTTGCGTAACAATCCTTTCATTATACCAATTAGGCATTCCCAGAACCCTCCCCAACAGGGAGCCGCTGGAGGGATGAATCGCCATGAAATACGCTGCATTGATGTTGTTTCCTGTATTTGTTCCCAACCGATCTTACTAAAAGCATTCTCGGCTCCGTCAAAGTTCGTACCATTATCGCTATATAGGGATAGCCAGAAGTACGGAATAAAATTCATATCTTTTGAATGAGTTCATTTATTTTTAATACGCCGAAACACGTTAACTGATTTTGATTTTTTGCCATCTTTCGGTTATATAATAATTAATTTTTCTTCAACCCCCTAACCTCCAGCTACCCCTACCTTTTTTTTCAAATGGAAACATAAGGCATGAGGGGGCTCGTTGATAAGCATATAGAAAACTGAATCCAGCCATACCGAATAAACAA